GTATCACCATTGCACTATTACACCATACACCAATGGCTACCAATATCACTTATACAATACTTCTGTAATTTCGTAACTTGTATCACAATTAATCTTAACACCTTTATACTAGCCTAGACATTTAACCACCATTGTCATCTTATCATTACCATGTACACCAAAGACATGAAATATATCCATTACTATTGTACCACCATATTACCATTGTAACCGTAACCACCTTACCAGTTATCACCATTACACCATATACCCACATGTACACCCTAATAGTTACCAATATTACCAATCCTTCTTCTTTAATATATTCTCCATTAACACGTATCACTGGAGCTACTCTTTGCTTTCTTTTGTCAGTCTTCCCTTTCTTCCTTAATTAATAAATTGTTTTATTTTAGCATGTACTCATGTACCTTTATTTTGTAATTCTACTTAATTTATTATTATTATTATTATTATTATTGTTGTTGTTGTATTTGTTGTATTTTGATGTACTTTTATTATGAAACAATAGTATTGAGATTTCTATTTGACGTTTTAATAATTTTAATATAATTTATTATTATAAAATTAAAGTTAAATAAGTCGACAATTTTATTCCAGTTCTCCTGCCACAGTAGACTTGAAGTGATTACGTCTGGACATTCAAGAACTGCTTCAATTTGATGTGATTCTCCACTGGTCAGTGCAGCTCCAAAATCAGCAAGATGTGTAGGATCATCTATAACTCTTTTACCAGCCTCAATGATCTGAGCCAATGACTCTCTGTGGGACAAGAGGATCATGTAATAAAAATGTACTATAGCCCATGGTTTTTCCAATAAATGGCTCCAAAATCACCTTAAATTTTTATTAATTTTCTGATACATATTGATGTACTAATGCTATGTAGAAAGTTTGAGTCAATTTGAGGGTTGAACTTTTGAGTTACGGCCATTTAAAAAATGAGCAAATTCCAGAAAATTTCCCTGTACTATAGCCCATGGTTTTCCCAAATAGTCATTAATTCGAACGAAAGAAAAGACTATGCAACATATATTGCATACATTACACAGTTTATACAAATGTCAATTCACTGTACTATCATACATGTACATGTTGTGGATAAGGTAGAAGTACATGTATCTACCTTTCCAGTGAGTGACAGTTCTCCAGTCATGGTAACATTCTGATGTATTGGATGATCCATAGCCAGTGAGAGGAGGGCAGAGACTATAGTGACACCTGCAGATGGACCATCCTTTGGGGTAGCACCCTTTAATTAATAAATAATAATAATTATTATTATTAATAAATAATAAAATAATAATTTAGTTGCCGCTGTCATTATTAAATTAATTGTTGATAATAATAATGGCAATAATAATAATTGCAAAAATTAAAATAAGAATATTACTATTATTATAATGAAAGTATTATACTTACCTCAGGTACATCTATGTGCCTATGTTGAGATGAATTTTTGCTTTCTAAAGGAAATCATTGTAGGATCTTTTGAAGACAAAATGACTAAAAACAAAAAATACAATTTACATAACAGCACCAGAGCACCTTATACATGTATTTCCATCTCTCTCTCTCTCTCTACCTTAGCAAAAGTATAAGCAATAACAGTGGACTCCTTCATTACATCTCCTAACTGTCCAGTGGTAGTCATACCCCCCTCTCCTCTCCCCTCCTTTGACAGGCCCTGCCCCTCAGCCATGCCTGTCTCCACATAAAGAGTAGTGCCTCCCATTGATGTCCAAGCCAGACCCATGACAACGCCAGGGGGTGTGGTCTCGTAGAGGTGATCGGAAATAAACGGAGGATGACCGAAAAAATTCTCTTCTTTTGTTTCTTCTTGGTTTTCATCATCTTCAGCTTCAGCTTCATCATCATTAGTCTGTGTCTGTGATAAGACTTTAAAAGCTGCTTTATGTAATATCTGTCAAATGAAGGAGATTGAATTGCCATAAAGGAATACCATTATATTACAAGTAGGCATATGTACATGTACATGTATAATATTAGCTAATGGTCAGTAAGTAGTAGCAAGATTGCTGTCACAAATATATACAGCAGTTTTTGGAGAAAAAACTCTTTTCACAATCGCTCCATAGACAACCATTGGAACTAGGACTCTAAAATGGAGGCAGGAAAATTTTACTTTATTTACGGTATCACGATGAATATACACATGTACTTAAAATTCTGTAAATATACTTAGTGCCAACTGATCTATATGTACTAAAAAGTGTTACAAAGATGGGAGAATTCTCACCTTGTCATTTTTGACGAAATTTGTCCAATGACCCTGTACTATAGTATAAGGACTTTAGTCCAATTTTTGAATAACTTGAAAAATTCATTAAAAATCCAAATTGGATCGGAATCAGCTCAAACTTGCTACGCAGCATAAGAACATGTATACGCATCAAGAACAGTTAAAGCACTATGGTGCAATGGACTCGCCTGCTGGAATCCACCTGAGTGATATGTATTACTTGTTCTGTGATATTTTAAGCAATTTGATAAAAAATTATTATTATTGACTGCATACTTATAATGATAATTAAAATAAGCTATGGGTGTGGTCAACAACTAACTAAATCATGGCACATGGGTAGGAGAAAGAAGAAAAGCTGAAATTTATTTTAGCATCTGAAGCTCTATTCCAAGAAAGAGTTGGCATAGAAAATTTTCCTAGATATTTAAAAGAGACTGAGAGAGTTTGATTGCTCCTGCTTTCCCCAGTGCCGCCTGAAAAATTCTCAAAGAGGCTAAATCACAAACTTTGAGCAACTGTAACTCACAAACAATGAAGTTAGGACAAAATCGTTCTTTTTGTTTTTCGTTAGATGGGATTTCCTACCTCTGAAGCAAATCTCGGCTCTGTAGAGTGAAACACGAGCTCTCACCTGAAGAGAGGTCCCCTGGTTTAGCAGTTCACAGCTTTTGGTGCCACGGGATGCTACAAGAGCATAACTAGATGAAAGAAAGCAACTTTATCTGTTGCTAGAAGAAGAAATAGAGCTCTAGACTGCTCAGACAAAAAGATAATTTTTTTACAAATCAATTAAACTGTGTGGACAGAATGACAACCCAACTGCTTAGCACCCGCCTACACAAGCGTGGCGAGTCCAAAAATGGAGAATTTGTAACTTTTGATTTTTGGTAAAATTTGGCCAAAGTCCCTGTACTATAGTACGGGGACTTTTGTCCAATCTTTAAAAAACCGTAAAAAAATCTAATTTTGATCAGAATCAGCTCAAACTTGCTATATGTATCAGGGAAAAATATATAATTCAAGCATAAAAAATCCAAATTGGATCGGAATCAGCTCAAACTTGCTACGCAGCATAAGAACATGTATACGTATCAAAAAATTATAAAAATGAAGAATTCTAAACTTTTAATTTTTGGCAAAATTTGGTCAACGACCCTGTACTATAGTACAAGGACTTTTGTCCAATTTTTAAGCAACTTTAAAAATTCATAAAAAATCCAATCTTGATCGGAATACACTCAAACTTTGCTACACAACATATTGATAAGTACATATATATTCATGTATCAGTTGTTCCTTTACTTGTATTATTTCCATTCTGTCAATGAGTGGTCATGGTATAGTGTCAGTTGTATTGGCTGTACAAATGAACAGAACACATGAGAGATCCACAGGAACATCAAGATAATGATCCAAAAAGAAAAAATTCTGCTCTGGATCCAATACTAACAAAGCACTGGCTGGATCACCCTGAGAGAGAGGGGGGGGAAGAGAGAGAGAGAAATAATAAATAAACAAAAATGACCCATAAATCCAACACTATCATAATACTACAAATCATCATGCATTATCAATACATGTACAAGAATTATCAATAACAATATTCCATTCCCAAATTCCCATACCTGGTACCCGCGTCCCAGTTCATCAACCTCATCAATCAGTATGAGTGGATTCTTGGTCTATACTTTCTTCAAACTCTGTATCACTTTACCAGGCATTGGACCAACATATGTCCTCCTGTGTCCCTTTATCTCAGCCACATCAGTCATACCTCCTACACTGAACCTAAAATACTAACACACACACACAAACACACACACACACGAAGAGAGAGAGTCAGTAAGTGATTGTTGTACTACTTTATTGTGTGGTCTTACTTCTCTATTTAATGCCCGGGCAAGTGAGCGAGCTATACTGGTATTACCAACACCTGCAGAGAGAGAAAGAGGGGGGAGTGAGGAAGGGAGAGGAACAAAAAAGAAGAAAAAACATGACCATATTATAACATGTAGAGTTGTAGACTGATTCAAATAATATGTTTATAAAGTACTTGTACATGTACAATGTACATACATGTATGTAGCAATTAAAGTACAGTATATTCCTTATAAAAGAATTGTAAGAGAATAAAAGAGTTATAAATTAATAAAGACACTACCAGTAGTACCAATAGAATCATTACCCAATAAACATAAATTAATAAAATACACATACAGTACATGTGCATGTATAAGTACATGTACAATACATTACCAGGTGGTCCTACAAAGCAGAGGATCTTTCCTTGAACTGATCCTTTCAATCTTGAGACTCCTATAAACTCCAGTATCCTGTCCTTAATGTCCTTGAGTCCATAATGATCCTCATCAACTATACCCTTAGCCCTCTCTGAATGGAAGTCCTCTTTACTGGTCTTACCCCAGGGTATACTCATCAACCAATCAAGATAGTTGCTTGTAACACTAGAAGAGAGAGGGAGGGAAGGAAGGAGGGGAGAGAGAGGGGGGAAAGTGAGAGAGAGGGGGGAGAGGGAGTGAGGGAGGGGCAAAAAGGGCAGGGATGATAAGTAAAAGGCAATCATAAAATCTTTATTTTTTACTTAAATTCTGATGAGTGGTTGTCAAGGAAAAACAGTTTGTTCAATTCTTCTGCAATCACAGCCTCCATTTCCTTTGGTACAGTCATTGACAAGATCTTTTCACGAAACTTGTCCAATATGGTATCCTTGTCATCTTTTTATAATAAAAACAACTTATTCAACTTCTTCCATTCACCTCTCCCCCCCTCTCTCTCTCTCAGTCTCCATTACTTCCATTCCTAGTTCTCTCTTTATTATTTTCAGTTGTTC